TGGCCGGGGTTACTTCACACACCTTCTTGCCGTCACAGCTGAACAGATAATAGAAATTAGAGTCAGCAGTGAAGCACCATGGGAAATCCCACCAACGCTGAGAAGAACAGTCTTTCATTGGGTTCTACGTGATTATGGGGTCTTGTAAGGTAAAAGGAATTCCCCACAAATATCATCAAAGTGAAATTGTCTGTTTTGTCTGAGGCGAAAGGCTCGCAGTCCCAGCTTTGCACTGGATCTGATAACCTGGCATTTCTTACTCCACGATCACTATCCATGAAAGCAAGAAGGCACTCTGATTCTTTTATATTCACTTTTCAAAAAGCATCTCGTCTTCCAGACATGATCTCTCACATCACTGAAGTTTCACACTATACATGCAGCACATTTCATCCCCTGTTATTCTACAGGACCTGTCCCGACTTCTTTGATGTTGGGCTGAGAAACAAACTCAGAGCAGGTCCAGTCAATCAACAATCATTTATTAAGCACATGCATGTGGCGATGTACACAATACCACCTTCTGTGTCGATCTCAAGAAGAAGCACTTAGATACACAGTTTCATATGTCAGGGTTAACGCTCCTTCATGCGCAGGCAGATAACATAACATGCATCAGTTACAGTTAGAACAGACATAATTCCTTTTTTGGTAATCTTCTATAACACTTAGAAATATCTATATGTGGTGATCAGCAGCAGTGACATCCATTGATAGCAAATACCAGTGTGTTATTGGGACGTATACCTTGTCCTGATGGTGTCTTCAGCACCCTCCAGAGAGCACGCAGTATTGATGGCCACCTCTTCAGCTTTCTCTCCACTGCACGTGTCCCGGTCTCTTCGTCCATACATGGACTCCTGGACACGAATCACTCCAGTTTCTGTTGGACATCACAGAGGCAAGTATTCAAACGCAACGACAGAGCTTACCAACCAGGGACGTCTGCAGCTACCGTCAGCCTCACAAACTCATAAACACAAACTGCAGAGATGCTCACTCGCTGCTTTGTATGCTTCCCAAACACAAATGTCATTCCTGTCTTACACACTCTGTACTCATAGAACCAAATCAAGGATCCCTTAAAGAAACGGGCGTGTTTTCCAAATCTAACTTAGTGGTGATTATATTAAACTCATGTGTGCCACTTATTTAGTTTTGATGCAATGTTGTGTGGAGGTTCTTCCAGGCGGTGAATGACGGTGTATGTTTGCTGAAACACTTCACAGGGTGTAAAATCCACCCGTCCATTCTCTCCCGCCTATCCTCAGAGTGGGGGGGTAATGTACCACCGTGTGTGGCTCCTGGCTCTATACGACCACTGTGGCGTTCTGTATGGACACTTTTTCTAAGGCAGCTGAAGAGATGTGAATAAAAACTGGAGGAATAGGACACTATGGTGTAAAGCTTCTGCTGGATATCAGCATGTGGAGTTCTGTACTCATGGTTTAAAGTCGGTCCTGAGTGTTTCTGCTCTCGTACCTCACTGTGTGTCTATGATGTGATCTGTGTTCGACATTTGTCCCCAATAAATAAATAACAATAACACGTAGAAACACTGCGGCGCTGAGAAACATGAGTGGTTGGGTCTTACCACAGCTCAGCCGGTGGACGTGGTTCCCACACGTGATGACTCTCTGCGCACCTTTAAAGCACACATGGAGCAATTAGTCTAACTCACATATTAAAACTAAGCACACTGAGAAACAATCAGACTAGCAGACACTTACCTGTGCTAACAAGCAGACAGGCTGCTGCCAACACTGAAAAACAAAGGAGCAGCACTCTCAATTTATAATGTGGCCAAATATGAAAACACGTGATACTTTACCCTTAAATACATGAACTGAAGAAATCTTCTTCAGCTAGAAAACAACATGAATGAGAAAATGCTGACTGTACTCACAGAGCGTGCTGCTGAGGCGGAGCATGGTTTCAGGGGACTCAGTGAGACTGATGCTTGCTGCAGAAACACGCAGCATTTATAGCTTTGAGTCTGTTTGCAGTCTCATCTTATCGTGCTAAACAAACCTTACCCCCCAGACTTTTGTTCAGCTGGATACGTGCCCAAACATGTGGCCAGGTGCTCGCCCAGTGAAGGATTTGACATGATTATACACACATGCAAAGAACATACAGTCCTGCTTGGATCAAACGTGCTGCAATGAATTTTTGAAGTGATCGATAACAGTAGAGCTCTTTACTGAGTTCATGTTTGGACCTTTGCTTTGTTTTTTTGGGAGGGGGGGGGGGGGGGGGGTTATAGGGTTTCTGGAGGTGTGGTCCTGTCAAACAGCCTGTTTCAGTTTAAATGTTGTTTTCAATAAATTGCATGCTCAGCAAAATGTTTTGTCTCAGTAACATTTCTTCTTGTTGCATGTTGAAGCTCGACCTGGAACCTTGTTCAGATCCAACCATGCAAAACAGGATTTAGTCATTTTTCTTGTGGTCTATGTGTTAGAGGGCCCAGGCCTGAAGGACAGACCGACAGGTCTGTGTAACAAAGACACTTGGCTCACTGTAACTTCAAAAAGTCATGTATTTCAGAACTGAAACTGTGTAATGAACTCACATGTTATCTTCTGATTTATTAACCTTACAATGTTTCACAGAGCTCAGGGTGTTCGTCAGCTCAAAAACACAGCAAGCATCCCACCTCGGTCACTTTCCCCGCTCATGCTGACATCAGTCTGCTCACGATGCCCTAATTCCCTTTTTGCTGATGGGCTCCATAAAATACTGTTTCCACTGAAGAAGCTGTGTTTTTATTTCATGGCCAACAGCTAAACTACTCTTTATGCTGTTTGATTGTCTGCACAAAGTAGAGAAATTGATATCTACCTCAGTTTTATTCTGTTGTATTTATTTATGCTTTTTTTATTTGATCTGTTTGTACATATTAACCTGCATCTGTGTGTGGACAGCAGAGAAAGACTTTCATTGCACAGAGAAATGCTTTTCTTTGTACACGTGACAATAAACGCTTGAATCTTTGAATCTTGAATCTTTGAGGACACATAGTTTCAGTGAATCAGGAAATACTGAACTGGCTGACACACGATTTACAAAGTGAAAAAAGAAAAACTTGCAGATTTTCCACATGTAAGTGTGCAGGTTTGTTTCTGTTATCTGTGTGCTTCTGTTTCTGTCACAGATAACGCCGTTAGGATTGCATACCAGAATAAACAGAGCAGAAGAAGAGCAAACAGACAAGACAAATAGGACACAAATAGCAGATAACTCAGCACAAACACAGGCACGCTGCCACCACACGCAAGCATCACTGACAGTAAATCTGATCCTTGCAACACACAGTCTGCACTATGTGCTGAATAACATGGAATTGTAACCCTGATACTGTGCAATGCGTGCATGCCAGCACTGCTTCAGGGCAGTTTGATGTGCAGAAAAATAAATCAGATATTTTAAAAATAGAGGTCGTTTCCTTTGATCTGACTTGAGACATTCAGCTCCATGCAAAAGTCTGGACAAATCGAACTCATGCAGCAGACACACAAAATGTCTTCTTCTTCTTATCTTCTAATGTTTACGCCAACAGAAATACAAAAAGTATTTCTTATTTCCAAAGGTCAACACAGCTGTAATATCTATGTTACAGCTCCAGGCTTGGAGGGTATGACGATGATACTGTCACAGCTACAGCTGCAGGCGACATCCCACAGGTCAGCCGGGCACTCCCAGGCCTGACTCTGACGTAACACAGTTAATATAAGTGTGTAATGCAAAGTGACCACATCATAAGAGTTCTGCTCTGTGTCATAGCTTTTACAGCACACGTTGTTCTGATCAGGATTATTTTCAAATCTGTCCTTACATATTTTACACTACACTGATTAAAGTATACACCTATTCAGGAAAGCTGTGATGGCACAGATGCATGCTGGGAAATATAGTACTGGTACCTTCTGAACTTGCTGCCTGGTCCTCAGACAATTAGATCCTCAAAGAATTTTGCCTGAGAATTTGACTAAATCCCTGCAGACCTGCTGACGTCAACCATGCGACAGTTTTGTCTTATAGAGTTAAACAGCACAGCAGCATTTTATTTCATGTTGAGCGAGCAAAGAGAAAAATGGTGCTCAAAAGAGGAGAGAGAGAAGAGAGCAGGATGAGTACAACGACCCGCAAGGCTCAAAAGATACAGTCTGAAACATTGTTACTACTGTTGTTATAATATGTGCTCTTACTGTAATATGAGTGTCTGTTCCACTGTAAAGTAACACAGACCGAGGATGAGGTGACGCACACAGTGGGTTTGTGGACACTTCTCCTTTGTTCCATGATTACAGACATCGTGGTGTGACCTTATATGACGTGTACGTGTCCCACAGCCTGGGACTGCTGTTGTCCTCCATGGTGCTGATTAATTTTATTTTGCACGTGTGATTTAGAGAGAGAGTGAGGTGCTGTGTGTGCTTCAGTACAACATGATGGTGAGGGTCTATCAGAGTTACGACTTCACATTCATGTAGCGCCAACACTTTCATGTCAGAGTAACAAACGACAAGCTCTGTAGCTGCAATAAAACAAAGACTGGGAGGCTTTGTTTTGTATATTAAGCAAGAAAAATGAAGCATGTCTGTTTGGGTTGTGCTCGGCGTGTATGACACACTGTGTCTGTCTAATACTGATCGATTGGGAAAGGAGCAGAGTTCAGCAGGAAGTTCAGCTGTTACAGTTTTCAGGTTTTCACACTTTTTTCACTTCGTCTCTGTGGCTGACATGTGGACGATCAGAGCAGCAGCAGCACATACAGACGCTCTCTGTACGCAGACCAAAGCTGTGCACCTCTGTTGTAAACTTCTCACTCAGAATTCATCAAACAGTCTTCTGCTGCACAGCCGAGGATTCTGACACTAGGTAAGAACACAGGCAGGATCTAAGCCCACAGAGCAGTCGTCCACAGTGTCCAGTCTGACACATGATGATCTGCAAACTGTCCATGAAGACATCTCAAGAAGCTGGTCATGACACAATAATGGGAATCAATGATAGTTTAATAGTGTGTGCAGGAGCAGAAAAGTCCAATTTGGCTGTCCAATCAGAAACAAGAAAGGAAAGGAGGTTAGCGTGTCCTCGATCGTATTTAGAAACTCCCCTGCTCATCCTGGGAACACACTAAAGTTTACGGCCTTTAGGCCTGTGTTTGAATCGAGCCTGCAGCCGTGAGCAGCATGTCTTACTCCTCGTCTTTCTGTCCTGTCGCACTAAAGGCTGAAAAAAACAAACAGAAAACAGCGAAACATGAAGTTTACACATACCTCTGCACTGAAAACAAACCTGGCCTCAGATGATTTTTACACCATAAACACACTCACAAATATTTACAGCAGGTGAGAAACTTTCATTGTCAGTTGTGTGCACAGTTTTGTGTGCTGTGGATGAAATCATGTGTATTTGATCTTTGAACACTTTGGGTCCAGCTGCCATAAACTGAGCGAATCTGCAGCCTAACACTGAAGTCACGCATACACATCCACACACAGCTCGGCCATTGTACACTGCAGTCAAAGCCATATTGTTGAAGGTAAATAGTTGTGTAATTTTATCTTTTTTAACCTGCAGACCAACATCAGGGATGTTTGGAAAGTTCAGCTCCGCATGTCCTCATCAGTTCATGAACTTGGCTATAACACAGACCTATCTCATCCTCGAGGTTTATTATTTAACTACCTTGTCAATATTTGAAAGGCAACATGGCTTAGGACAAACAAAGTCATAAACTGGTTTCCACTGGTAATAGATGAGCCCCCAAGAAAGGCTCTGGAATCCTTGACCTTTAGCAGGACCTCTACCGGGTAATGGTCGCTGACATCCAGCGCCTGAATAAAAAACACAGGAAGAACAGCCAGTGTCAACAAATGAACAGAGTTTGATCTGTTTCAGTAACAAAATCACAGCACACCGTGTTTAACACACTCTGTAGGTGTGTGTTTCTGTACAGTCCACACACACTGGCACAGACATGCAGAGCGTGGACTGTTACCTGCTCCTCCGTCAGTCCGTATTGCTCTTGAAAGTTAAATGGTTTGGCTGAAGCAGGCACGATGGCTCTGTGAAAGGTTTCCCCATTCACAACAATCCTGTTGGCACAAGCAGAGAGCAGCACACATTTACTCATGTCTCTTATTTCATTCACACGGTCACATTTAAGTCTGCTATAGTCTGCTTACATTTACATATTGCATATCAGCTTTTATCAAAGGAAACTTTGTTTCTTGAAAAGTTCCAGGGATCCTAAAATCTTGGGAACTCTCCTGAATCAAAGCTTTGTGCGTTTACCTGTCGTAGGGGCAGGATGTGGTCGCTCGCACGGTGGTGTCAGCGTCGTCTGGGATGAGCCAAATAAGATTCGTGTCTGTGATTAGGCGCACATTCTTCCTGTTCTTCTTAGCGAGGTAGCCACAGCCCGCATTAAAGTCTCCAAGAAGCATCACATTCTGCCCATTACAGCACAGCGGTCACCATGTACACCTGTGGTATTGACTTCTTGTCTGTTTGATGAATGCCAAAATAGTCTTTACCTCAGTTTTCCACATGTTTCTCACATGCTGTAGAACATCATAGAGGGCATCGAGCTCCTTGGTGGTGTTGGAGGGCGTGGTGTGCTGAGGTATGAGAACAAACTCCTTTATAGCTGAGGATGGAAATGAGGGTTAGAGGGAGAATCCATCCAACAGCACCAATATTTCCATTCTGTCACAGGGAAGCATCGGGGACCGACCTGTGCGGTCCGCTCTGAAGCGGACAGCAAACGGCTCTCTGGAGAAAGCGTCGACGTCTCCTGGTTTATTATCAGGGTACTGATACTGGTCCGTGACCCTCACCGTCTCCTTCCTGAACACATTCAGGTTCAGTGAAGCCAGACTCCGTCACTATACCTGCACTTAGATGTCCTCTGCACAGAGGTGTAGCTCACCTGTACACAAACACGTACTGCTCCTGGTATGTCTCAGACCTGCCCAGTCTCTCACTGGCCACAGTCTCATATTTATACTTGGTGTCAAACCTGAGGGTGAAACAGCACAGATGGGACGGGGATGCAGTCACTGCATGTGTCAGTCGCTAAGTTTGAGCATTTAGAGTCCAAACCACTCACCTCCAAACTTATGCAATAACATGTGTCTGTGGGGGTGTGTGGGTGACTGTGGGTCTGTGGGTGTGTGTGGGTGGGTCTGTGTGTGGGTGTCTGTGGGGGTATCTGTGGGTATCTGTGGGTGTGTGTGTGTGTTGGTATGTGTGGGTGGAAGCGAATGAATAATCACCGTTTTAGGGAGTCGAGCAGCAGTGGTAAAGCTTTTCCTCTACTGTCTCTCACTTCCTGGAGCAAACACACATCACAGCGTGTGATGATCTGAAATGGAGACACAGCACAGCCATGAAAAGGTGAGTGGGAGTGGGACACACAGAGGAGCCACTCATTATTCGTCCCACTGGTCACCTGCAATAAAATAAAAATGTCCTGCATCCCTAAAAATATTTGTTATATTTGTTCTTTTTGGTCCTTTTCCCACACCACCGCGCAAATTAGAACGTGTTCATTCCGACTGATGTAGTAAGGAACGCGTTGGCATTGACTCTGCGCCACCTTGTGGTGCTAAATGATAATGCATGGAAGTGTCTTCATAGCCTTTGTTTGGTTGCTTTGGTTAATTTCACAATGTGGTGAACAAATTTTCAAACAGGAAACAAGTTTCTCTAAACAAATCATTTTTACTGATTCACTGAGTAATTCTGTCAGTTTGTTACAGCCATGTAGTGACTATCGTCCACTAAAGAACCACGACACTGTCCCTCGGCTGTTTGAGACAAATACAAGAACACAAGCACTCTTACCCAGTCTTTCTTTTTACCTTACCCTGGCAAGAGTCCCCATAACGTCACTCTTCTTCGACTTGGATTCACCAAAGTGTTGTGTGTTGAAGGCACAGATCCTAAAATCTGAACCAGCTTTAGTATGGGTCACATCCACGAGGACGGCGAGCAGCAGGAGGAGAGACAGACTCATGGCCAACAGCTGGAAGGAAGCACAGTCCCCATCGAGAAACATGATGAAACACATGAGCTGAGGGCTGCTACGGGACAAATTCAGCTTTGTTTGGTGTTTAAAAAAAACACTTTTGATGGAAGCTTTGATGTGAACATAACTGAGACGTGGACTAAAGAGGAGACAGACCACTGCATCTCTGGTGGTGCAAAGAAGACGGGAGTTTGTTGCTGCCATCAAATCCAGAATATTTTCCTCTAATGGTCTTTCACCGTCTGTTTGATTTGGGAACAACATTTTTGGAGCTGGGGTTGTATAACTAAAAGGTTTTTAACTTGAATGATTTTAATTGATAAAAAGAAGTAAACAGTAAACCAGCACAAATCTAATGGCTGTTGTTGTTTGTGCGTAAACATGAACTGTGATTATTCCTGTTTCTCGTGGTTTGACTCAGCAGTGAAACTTCCTGTTTCTTCCTGTTTCTTGTGAAATTAAAATTATTCACTTCTCCAATTCCTCCTGATGACCAACAATAGCTTTAGCATAAATCTTAGACATGAACCACATATTTGTTCTTCCCCTTATCTAAGGTCAGGTGACCTGGGAGGGGGGGGTCCACCCTGAACACGTCACCACCCTGTCACAGGGCCAATGCAGGGGCTCACATTTACCCGTTCTATGGGCAATTTACAGTCTCCAGTTAAGCTAAAGCTGCATGTCTTTGGACTGAGAGAGCCAGAGGGAACCCAGGAAGGCACAGCTAGAACACACAGCGACCTCGGTTAGATGATGGACTGCCACCCAGGGCCTTCTGCTGGTGAGGCAACAGTGCTAACCCTGGCACCACCGTGCTGCCCTGCATCATTATCTATTTAAAACCCACCAGCATAGAAAGGGTCAAACTGAGTTCAATCGTGTGTATGTATAAAACCTGTCCACATGTAAACACTTGTTGCCCACAGACATGTTTGCTCCGTGTCCTCTGTGTTTCTTAAATTTGTTACCATTTCAGCTCCTTAAGAATGTTCTCACATAAATAACTAATAGTGTGTTCATTAAAAAATGTCCACTCATATTTACTTTCAGACAAAATAACATAGCCAGTTAGCTTTCAGTCTGTTGGTCACCCCCTGCTGATGATGACCCACACATTCACACTTTGGCTCACGAGATGATGCACATGATCAGTAGTGGTTCCTCTTAAGGGTCAAATCCACTCGGGTTCTTAGAGCTGAAGATAGAGCTGACACGTCTTCAGGAAACCAAACTAGTCCAGATCTGTCCAAGGTCCCCCCTCAGCCACAGATGTTTTGCATTAATGAGTGCAATCACATCTGTGGACTGATGAGTCCCTGACAGGAAGACCACGGTGTTCAGTTACTTCAGTCTGTCACTGCTCTTAGTGTCCTGCAGCGACTGTAACCACATCATTTCCTCAGGGCCTGGAGAACAATGTCCAGAAACCCAAACAGGAGAAATATGAAGGAAAACAAACATAACAGTCCAGTCAGTATGAAACAGGACACACGGAAACAATCATGGAAAACCCACGGCACACATCTGAAACTAACGTGGAAAACAAGAAGCGAAACTCCAGAAAACAAGATGATAAAATCCTAAAATCAAACAGAAAACACGGAGCAGTGACCATCGCAGGAATGATCCTGACGTCATGGGAAACATGGAGAAATGACTCTAGTTCAGCTCTGTTAGCTCTAAAGCTGTTACACGTCTACTTTCAGCACAACACATGAAACTACAGCGTGTGTGTAGCAGGCTGTACCAGCTGCTGTAATGTGAGCTCCAGCTGTCAGGTCTTGAACCCAGACACACAGCTGAGCGTGTAGGAGAGTGCAGCTCTGTAGTCATAAACACACAGCAGCAGATTACAGGTCACACGCTCCACTGAGACGGCTTTTCCTTCGCTCGCTCCTTCTGTGGGTCGTCAAACTACAGCTTACCAGCTCTGGGACTTCTTGGAGTTGTAGGGTGTGTTCGCTTCTTACTCCTGTCTCTCGACTGAAACTCAAAGCTACCCCCGCCACTCTGTTTCCTGTAGGAGGGACTACAAGGAGGAAGCAGCAGGAGATCTGCTGCTGTGAAAAACTTTCTTCTGTTTGTCAGAGATCAAGTCTTTATCAGGAAAATCATTGCAGACATTAACATTTGAATACTTCAAAGTAAAAAAACCACATACCTGCCTGGTTACACATATATGACTTAAGTATTTACTGTGAGGAGGCAAAAGGCAAGTGAAACAGTCCACAGATGAACAGATCAGGTGTGGGAAGTTTAAGACGTGTACACTGCTCCAAAACATTCAAAGAAGACTTGTTCATCAGAGCTTAGGACCGTGTCAGTTACACTTCAGAGATATTGATCTGGTCAGTTAGCAGAAAGGGCTGTTAAACTAACAGCAGGGGGCAACACTGAGGAACCTGAAACAGGACCAGCTTTACAGGTGGAGGCACCTGACGTGGTTCACTCCTCAGCGTTTCTAACTCGGATCAGTGTCCTGCTGGGAATCTGGGATGACACCTGGAGTCCAGCTGTGGAATAATCACACTGTGTCCTCCCACTCACAAGTCCGGATCTGTGAACTGTGTCTCACAGCCAGTGTCCAACACCTGGCACAAGCTACGCTGTGGCATACAAAGACACAGGTGAAACCAGCCACCACCTGAATGCAAGGAAGTGTCCACTCCCACCGCTGTCCAAACTTTCATACTAGATTTCATTTCTTTGTAATCTTCTTGCCAGTGATTCCAACAGGAAATCTAGAATCACCAGTTAGCCCCACCCACTAACAGATGTCTCTGGACCGTGGGAGGAAGCCAGCCAGGAAAACACGGGAGAACCTGCAGACTGTCCTCCTGTCTCCAGCGGACAGGTCGGCCTGGATGAAGCAGGGACACACCGGTGCCAAACAGATGGATGAAAACAAACGTTACGGACTCCAAACGTGCTGCAAAAACTGTTTCTCACAGAAATGTCCCACGAGAAGCGCAACAGTGAGCACTGAACTACATACAGCAGTACAGCTGGTGCTATGGTGGGAGCTGCAGACGCTGAACCAGGACCTTCATTTGGTCTCCTTAAAAACAAACAGTAGCTCCACCTACTGGACATTATATCCCTAAGTTAACCACAGCGGTGGCAGCAATAATGTGTTTGATTATCTTCTAATCCTGATTTGCCAACACGTTTAGCTGTCCGCTGTTCCCGATGCTTCAGCAGCTCGTCAATAAGAACACAGACGCAAGTTCATTTAAAGCTCTTTACCTGAAACGCAGCAACAAGTCAAACTGAGCTGAGAGCATGGACACGTCACAGGTCTGATCACTGCAGAGCACTCATCCTGCTCAGCCGCTGTTCTTTAATGTTACAACTTTGTTCTTATTTTGGTTAAACTGGTGTTTACAGTACAGCTGCAGCTCCACGTGACTGTTACCTGTCAGAAGGTAACATCCACCTGTGTTCAGTATCAATGGATGTGGATACCTGTTCATGTCATTTGTGGGACAGCAGAGAGAAGACAGACGAGGCTTTCAGCGTGTTACCTTTACAGTCCAAAGCGTGTTCAGTGTTTCCTCAGCTGTAAATTAACAGAATTAAAGGCTGAATACTTTGAGCCCCATGAAGGAGACCATCAGCTGTTAGTGTGGGACTGTATGCAGTTATAGAGGTTAGGATCTGTAACGATCCTCACACACACTGCTCACACTTCAGTATAACTCCTAACACCTGTGGTAAGATTAATGTGTCCAGTCTCAAGTGCAACTGGACACCACGTTAGAAAACCTCCCCCAGACTTGATGTGCGATTTCATGTTCAATGAAGACAAAGCCATGCTCTCATCACTTTTGTAATCAAAGCCATCTTTATTGATTATGTGGGCACAGAGAGCAGCCTCAGACTGCGTGCAGGGCCCTCCAGCGGGCCAGAGGGCCTCTGTTGGGGATGTATTTGACCCCACAGCCATCAGGAATCAGACGCTTCTCGGCCATCATGTCATCAAAGTCACAGGTGTTGAACTTGGTGAAGCCGTACTTCTTGGAAATGTGGATCTGAGGGCGAGAGCACAGACATGGGTTCAGCCTTTCAGTACACTTACTTACACTAAGCTCCTGATGAAGACACATTTTGTCTCAGTGGTCCCTTAAAGAACTCAGCACCTCCCAGCTGAGGACATACACAACCAAAGAGTCAGTGTTTGCAGCCTTTGCACACCAGAACCGCACCACAGCGAGACCGGTCGGCTTAATAAGCTGCAGGACTCACGTCACTTTACATTTATTACAGCAGGAGCTTTGGGAGCGTTTACCTTCTGACGACCAGGGAACTTGAACTTGGCTCTGCGCAGAGCCTCCACCACGTGCTCCTTGTTTTGGGCCTTGGTACGCACGGACATGATCACCTGACCGATGTGCACGCGGGCCACGGTGCCCTGGGGTTTACCAAAAGCACCACGCATTCCAGTCTGGAGCCTGCCCGACACAAAACAAGAGGATTACAGGATGAGCCAGACTGCGCTCAGTGCAGCAGGGCTACGGGTCAGTCAGCCTCTCACCTGTCAGCTCCAGCACAGGACAACATTTTGTTGATGCGGATGACGTGGAAGGGGTGCAGACGCATGCGGATGTGGAAACCGTCCTTACCGCAGGTCTTCACCATGTACTTGTTAGCACAGATACGGGCAGCTTCCAGAGCTACAGGGGTTGAAGCACAACATGCATGAAGTTATAGGCACCGCTGTTTGTGTTTGCCAACAACCCTGACTGACTGCAGCATTAACACGAGCCAGACAAACTGAGGAGGAGGGGCTTACTGAGGTCATCACACGAGTGAGAGCTGTGCTCTGACGTCTCTCTGAACCCAGGACTCGAACACAGTCAAGACAAACTTTGCTGTTCTAACCTGGAACCTTTACTTTCCCCTAAGACCCAACACTGCAGCTACCAGGCTCAGTGCATCCTCTAACAGTAACGTACTCATGCAGGCAGCAGTGCATGCTTCCTTACTGAGTAACGTGCTCAGGGTGTGGCTGAGCAGCCTTCCTCCTGTTACCCACTGTGATACAGCAGACCCTCCACAGACGAGTCACACATTAGCACCAAGTCTATCTGCCTGATGCACTGAACCTGTGACGAGCCCAGTTTAACGTTCCTGGTGCCAGTAAGCAGCTGTGGCCCAGTTTAACTGGCTCCTTCCTCATATACACGAGTCTTTATGGAGCAGCTTTAAAGCTCGCAGAGAGTGTGTGTGCTGTATACTAGGATAGGTTTTATATTTAATATACAAGCTGTTACATCAGGTTACAAACATCTCACAGCTATACAATAGTTTCCCACAGTAGTAATCAGTACCCCCCCCCCCTGGTCTCCTCACCTTCTGATGACAGCTGCTCGTACTCATCAGAGACCATGTGGCCGCACAGGGGGAACTCGTCCACCTTGGCCTTCTTCCTGCCCAGGTCAAAGATCCTGATCTTGGGGTCTGATGAGAACAGAAGAGGAAGGATAAGAACACTGAAACTCACGTCTGCATCAGCGAGACCAACTCATGGGCTTTTCCATCAGCGCCTACTCGGATCGACTGGAGTCG